AGCTGGTCCTAGACAAGGACTCCTCGTGTTATAAATCGCTGGGCTGTAGACGTGACCTGCAGCTTTGTTATTGGGGCAGAAAACCTGCGAAGGCCCCTCAAAAGGAAGATTTCGGTTGTGTACTTAAAAATCACAAAGCTCCATATATTCTTAGCGCAGCTGAATGCATAGATGTGTCCGCACAGAGATGGGCCTTATGCCGTACTGCCATGTATATGCATACAGCCAGCGTCGCTGTCTTCTGCTGGGAATGCGTTCAATTGAGCGCCCCCCACACTGTGACCATGGTGTCACCGACCGCTTCCAGTCTCATGGCAACAATGAGGAAGAATGGGCTCCTAGTCATGTGGTCACTGTGACAGCCAATCACATGACCAGGAACGCCTCCGGCATTACTGTCTCTTAAAGGGCCAATGGGAAGGGGATATTTTGCTGCAAATATTTTAGCTGAACTGACCCACCGTAATCTGTGTGCGTCCCTTAATTGCAACCCAAATAGTGTTCGAGAATCACCTGCACGCCATACAGCGCTCGAACCAAACAAAATGCCCTTTGGTGCCACACGGATGGCGCCATACTACATACAGTCCAAGTAAAGATAGAAGTCACCGGCACTCACTTGGAATGTGCAAAAAGGAAGAGCACTTTTATTGATACGTCACATGCGTCAAGAAGCCAAAGTTTCGGGGCCGCGCAGGGTCCCTGCATCAAGGCCACATCGTGACGGTCATGATGTCGCCCTGATGAAGGGACCCTGTGCGGCCCCGAAACGTTGGCTTCTTGACGCATGTGACGTATCAATAAAAGTGCTCTTCCTTTTTGCACATTACAAGTGAGTGCCGGTGACTTCCATCTTTACATTAATTGTAACCATCGCTACCTACGTTTCCTGTACGTTTCCTGTATTACAATGACTTGTCTGCTGTAATCTTCTGCTCACTGTATTATAAATGGTCAGTATTTTGTATCTTACACATAACAAGAGCACAAAGTTCGGTGCAAACCCTAAACGGCGAATATTTGTCTTCCACAGAGCCCTCGTATGAGTCCGCGCGGAGATCGGGCTGGGGAAATAATGTGAACTCGCCTGCTACAAAAAGTAAGTCACCTCCTATGATTTGTGGGGAGCGTCAATGACCGGTCCTTCAGATCATCATCATCTCCTCCACGGCACCAACAAAATCCAACTCCAGACAAAACTTTGTTTTAGTCATGGATGGATTGGTGAAGGGTTAGACCCTCCATGAAGTGTTTATTGCAGCCAGTGTCCCTATTGGGGTGATTTGCCCCTATTTACGTTGGTGTCACCAAAACAAAGTGATGGGAAATTCAAAATGATATCGATTTTTTAACAAATATTGTACAAGTGGATTATTGTTATAATTGGCTTAATCCACCATCTCGTCTCCACTTTCATGCTCCCAACTTTGTGGGAGGAGTTTGGGGACGGCCCCTTCCTGTCCCAACATGACTGCGCACCAGTGCACAAAGCAAGGTCCATAAAGACATGGATGGGGGAGTTTGGGGGGGGGAGGAACGTGACTGGCCGCACAGAGTCCTGACCTCAACCCCATAGAACACCTTTGGGATGAATTAGAGCGGGGACTGCGAGCTCCTCCCCCAACATCAGTACCTCACAAATGGTCCAACGTTCCCATAGACACACTCCTAAACCTTGTGGACGCCTTCCCAGAAGAGGCGGAGCTGTTATAGCGGCAAAGGGCGGAGCCAACCCAATACTGAACCCTACGGACTAAGACTGGGATGCCATTAGAGGGCGGAGCCAACCCAATACTGAACCCTACGGACTAAGACTGGGGGGGCCATAAACGTTCATGTGCGTGTAAAGGCGTCCCAATACTTTTGACAATATAGTGTATTTCTGTGGGAGGGAACACATGCTCTGTCTGGATGTTTTGTAGTTTACACGCTCAGAACAGCCCGACATTCAGGTGTGGAGGGGTCCCCAAGTTTCTTCAGCTCCTGCCGGCACCTCTACCGGCACTTTATAGCATTTAAGCACAATAATCATCTTAAGGAATAATGAACATTTACACCTAGATAGGTCAGGGAACGAACGGGTCCTTATACTGTTTATGTGGCCCATGTGGAGGAAGTGAGGTTGTTGCTCAGTGACACAGATTTGTCAGTCTGATTGTCACCTTCTCATGACTTATCCATTCATCTTCCCCCAATATACCACAACATGAATTCCCTGGTCAATAAAATGGTCCTCACCGTGTATTTCAGAACATCATCACTAGAGACACAACACTAAATAAAATAAAATGTGAGCGAAGAGACATCGGCCCATCACAAAACCTCGTCAAAGAAGTCCGTGATAACCTGAACTTCTAAAGTGCTGAAAATGTTCCTCATCACCTCATAGGGAGCAATAATCACCCGTATACACTATATGGCCACGAGAACATGGACGGCTCCTCCAAGTTCATCTCAGCCACACTCAGGACATAACATCCAACATACAGCCACGCAATCTCCATTAACCAACATCGGCAATGGAATGTGGTGGGATGGATTGGAAGTCTTCTCCATCATCCGTACCGGACCACAAATTCCAACAGATACGCCAAAATCTTGTGGAAAGCCTTACCAGTAGAGTGGGGGGGGGTATTGTAGCCACAAAGGGAGGAAGGGGGCCCCATATTAATGGCCTTGGTTTTAGAATGGGAGGTCGAACAAGCATGATGGTTAGGAGGTCCACAAACCTTTGGGTGACTTTAGGACGTGTACTTCTCTTTTATTACTATCGTTTCAGCATATTACATCGTAATTTGTTCTCTTTCTGATGTGATGATGTGTTCTGTTTACAGGTCCTCCCGTTGGGGGAACACAAAATGTGAACAAGAATGCAGAACAGCAACGCCAGCAGCCAGGTACTACTCTCCCCAACATATCAAAGAGAGCTCAGGCGGTGTGTGAGCCAATGGTAGAACGCTTTAGAGGTTGATGTGTTAAAAACAGCTCATTCATGAAATGCAAGCTGCAGTGTGGAGTCCGCTGTGCCCCATAGAGTTCTCTACATAACACTGCAGAGAGAGCTCCAGGATTGGAGCAGAGGCTGGTCACGTGACTATCAGGTCACATGACTGGGCGCCCTCCTCCCAGCTATTTCTTGGTGTTACATTGGGACGTAATGTCTGGTAGGGCTCAGCGCCGCGCTTTCTCAATGTGCGATATTTCTTTATATTAAGAAAGCAGTGACAGGGCCATGACGGCTCCTTCATAAATGGGGCCCCTGGAGTCCCTGAACTCAGCTAGTCGCGTTAGAGTCCCCAACAATCAGCAGCAGGTCAGGCGAGAATACTGGAGATGGGACCAGTCAGGGTGAGGACGCCGCCTTCTGCATTTTATAAAAATGGGATTTAAAAACAAAAGTAAACGTCGAGAGACTTCGGGAATTCCTGCGCGCGGCAGTTCGTGCAGAATGTAGCGATGTCGTGGAATGTTTACATTTTATGTTTATTTGTAATGTAAATAATTAACAAACAGAAAACAGAAACAACACAGTGAAGTATGATGGAGTATGCTCAGCTATG